GTTTCCATGTTGAATGAAATTTTGAAACAGGAGATTGAAAAGAGGTTGTGACCAGAGCCCTGATTTGAAGTCAGAAAACAACCCCTAAGTCTGAACTGACACATCAAGGTGACAATTTTGCGTTTCCTATTCCTGTCTGAAACTAAATGGCCCCTCACTTTTTTCATACTGTCCCCCTCTGGCCCCATGGATCTGAAAGGCCATTGTCACCATTGGTCTGTTAGACCTTTCTAGGTGGAAATGAAACAAAGATGACTTCAGACAAAGTCTCATGATCTAGTCACACCACAGTCCTAATCAGCCACTCAATGATGTCAACCATCCTTGTTGAACATAAAATTCAAAGAGGCCCCACATGGACTCTTTGTAAACACTTGGAATTTCTATCCCTTTTTTTTTTTTTTTTCATTTCTGTGACCACCAACTCAAGTCTATTCAATTTATATGTTCAACTTGAGTATATTTTCTGAACTGTTTGCCTCAGATTTGTTCCCTTCAAAGTTCCAATTCTAGTCTCATCTTTCCAGTCTGATCTTTACACAACAAGTATTTATTTATTCTCCCTATGCAAAAAAGTGGGTTCTCCCGCCGCCTATAGAGGCAATGTTTAAACTCCTGTCTGACACTCGGGACCTTTAACCACCTGATTCCAGCTTGACTTTCTACCTCAACTTCTTAGGATCCTCTACCTAGTCAACAGGGCTTTGTTTTTTGGAGGGGACAGGGGTTCATTCCATGAATAGACATTACTCTTTGCCTCCTTTGTGTTTCCATGCTTGTTTTTGCACCACCTCTGTAAACAGAAAAGACCCTGCCCTGGCTGGTGTGGCTCAGTGGCCTGATAACCAAAGGGTCACTGGTTCGATCCCCAGTCAGGGCACATTCCTGGGTTGCAGGCCAGGTCCCCAGCAAGGGGCTTGTGAGAGGCAACCACACACTGATGATTCTCTCCCTCTTTCTCTCTCTTCCCTTCTCTCTAAAACTAAATAAATAACATCTTTTTTTTAAAAAGACCCCTTTCAACCTTTGATTTGCATCATTATTTTATGGCTGGCTTGCACAAATGTATTTTTAAAAAAGAAAAATTCTCAGAAAAAAAACTTAATAAGAGCTCCCTGGGAAAAGGAATACACAGGTGAGAAAGGAGATAATACACTTCCCAGTTAAGCTCTTTGGAGCTTTACTTTACTAATGTTATTATTATTTTAAATAAATGGCTCCTGGGAAAGAAAGAAAATTCATTTTTCAGGGTAGCTGAGGAAGGACTATGCTTGATTGCGGCAGAGCGGAAAACTATTCTAAGTGGCTATGATTTTCTCACAGTCTTTTCGTGACACCAAATACTTAAAAATTCACAAGCCTATAAAGGCTCATCTTTTTTTTACCGTATTTCAGTAGAAACCAAACTGGAAATGGGTATGTTTTCCCGAAGTAAAGGTCTTATCTGGAACGAGATGCTTCATGTTCTGGAATTCGAACATCTTCCAGGGACGAGTACATCTGTCCATACGACATTGTGATCTCCAAGCACATCCTGAAAGTTAAAGCACAGGACTAGTTTTATTAAAGATCATTTTAGAACATGAAGAATTTCCTAAATATTGTGTTTTGAAAATAATTCCCAAAAGACATCGTCTTCCACAGGGTTTCCTAGATGTAGATCCAGAAGTAAGGATTCATGTACAAGTGGTTCATTCAGGAGCTGCTCCCAAGAGACATCGGCGAGGGAGTGGGGGTCTCGGAACAGGGAAAAGGAGGAAGCCGGGCCCGGCTGCAACCTCAGCGACAGTGCTTTGGAGCGTAACTTCAACCTTATCCCACGGGATTTCTGGAACACGAGCTGCACTTTGGAGTTTCCCCCGCCACTCATCGCAAAGGGACAGAGCTTCCCTGCTCCTGGACCCACCAGTTACCATCCAGACAGTGGCTGGGGTTTCTGGTGGTGGCTGCAGGCAAGACATGTGCAGTCAGCCAAGGGCGATCATTAGAGAGAGAGTCGCATATGTGTGAGCTGTGGGAGGCTGAAAATACGTCAAAGACAGAGCGAGGCAGCAGAAGCGGCCTGAAAGATCTGGATGAAGCACAGGCAATGGGCACCAGACAGTACTTCTGACATCCTAAACCCAGAGAAGTTCTTTCCAGAGAACTTATTTGACCAGTCAGTAATGCTTGAGAACAGAGTGACCGTGGGCATGCTGTTCACTTTCTCTGTGTTTTAGTTTCTTCATCAAATAAGTACCTAACTCAAGGTTCTTAAGAGTATTACACAAGGTGATGCACATGAAAGTATTTTGATCACTACATATAGTAATGGAAACTAATGAGGATTAATTTTAGGGTCTTTAGAACTCATGTTTAGTATCACAGTTTTAACAGACAGTAGGCTTCTTTTATTGCCATAATAAATTTATGCCTGATTCAAATTATATGCAGAAGGTGAGAATAATACTGGGGTGATATGAAGAACATTATTTCCATAACATCAAGAGATTGGTAAACTGCACAAGAAAAGGAAGGGAAATAGGAGCTTGGTCATACATAGTGGAAACAAAAGAATAACTCATTTTGACACTAATGTAGAAAAAAATTGGATCTAAAAGCTTGGATACCATTCAAATTCATCATCTTGTGTCATTTTAAACTCCAAATTTACCTATAAGTCAAGAAGATCTAGATCTTTTTATAGGAATAGTGATGAAGAAAATCACTGGCAGAGTTTGGTGGAAGGAAAGAAATAGTCATGGAAAATGCAGTATATTCAAACTTTCTAAAAAGATAAGGAAAAGGCATCATGGAGTCACCTTTATTAGCACTGAGATAATATTATGTTGAACCATATAAAATCACTAATACTTGGACATTTTTGAACTATGAAAGCAGCAATTTCATCTGATTCAACCTAATACGTAAAGCCCGTTGGGAGACAGTCTCCTACGGGCCTCTCTTGCTCTTACACTTCTTGCTGGTAATGCTAAAATACAAGGAAGGCCCTGGCCACTCTTTTCCTGTCCCATTTCTCAGAGTTGCATTTACAGCCAGGAAGGAACCATGAGTGATGAGGAAGTGTCTCCTTAGACCAGGCTTGCTTACTGCTTGCTATAAAAGCAGTGATGCCCTTGAGCCCAGTGTTTCTCTCCTGTAACACAATTCACTGAGTCTGCAGGTACTACCCGGGCTCTTGCATCACCTGCTTGGAACTTGGGAGCAAGGAGACTCAATGTAAGTGCACTGATGCTCATGCTGAGTGCTGGACCATGAGTAATAATGCCCTTCGTCTCTGACTCAGGGGTCGCGCATCTTCTAACATCCGTGGGACAGCAACAAACTGACTTCTTATCTTTCAAGTATGGTAAAGTCAAATCTCAGACCCCAAAAAGCTACAACATAGAATAATCAAATTGTTTTAGTTGCATCAGTTGTAAAATTTCCCCAAACTATTGCCATTGAAGACAACGAAGTGGAAAACATCCTTAAAAAACATCAGTGTGGTCATTCATCACCTATCTATCTTTGTCCTTAGATCTTTCCCCAGAAAATTTAAAAAACATGTCATGGTCCACAGTCTTCCACACCCCTAGAGCCATGTGAAGTCCCCCGAGAAAGTTATGATTGTGTCTTAGACTCTTGGAAAAATCCATGTGGGAGGTTTCACGTAAGCTAACCGCTTGCATTTCTCTCTGTTCCCTCCAACTTTATTCGGCCATGGGCTCAATCCTTAGACGTGAGTTAAGCTTTGTAAATCAGAACTCCTATAGTATTCAGAGGGCCAAGTTGTTAAGATACAGCCTTAGAAACCAAAACATAGGCTAGATTAAGGCTCATAACCTGACTCAGTAGGCACAGCTCCCTGCTTTCTTCTTCAACATGACATTGGTGGCTACATCCCTTTTCTCCCCTCCTAGGCCGACCATTGATGAAACCCAACCATTTTCTCCTGACAATGCTACTGTTGTGGAGTTGGCATTTCTATGTAAATAGCTGCTCTCTGATTCATTAAGCCTCATTGCCTCTGACATTTTCCCTTTTGACCCTTATCAGCTCCACTCAGGCAAAATGCAAAGAAATAGAAAGAACAAAGAAAGGCAATAAAAGGGTTACAACCAAGGAGTGTATTGTGTCTGTGACCAACAAGGAAACTTGGAAACGGGTGACTGAACATTCAAGGATTCCCTGTCACTCAGTCAGCGCTACAAGGTTTGTTCAAAGCCTGACGAGTGCTTAGCACCATTTCAAGGTGTCACATAGGGATACACAGGAAATGACAGTCATAGATGCTACTTTAAGGGCACTTGCTGTTTAATAGACAAGATAGCACAATTAAATGCCTGTGTACATGTAAGCCTATAATCTGGCCCTTGCTTACCTCTCTAGTTACTCATTATTTCTCTTCATAGCACCTGTCACAAGCTCCACTGTTTAGCTTATTTACCTGTTTTTTTGATTACTATGGCCCCCTGAGCTGAGATTTGCCCGATAGGCAACAGTGTGTCCATTCCAATTGTTTATGGCCAACACCCCCACCCTCACCCCCTAAACTCACGGGAATAGAAATTTCAAGAGGACAAGGGCTATGTCCACTTCATTCAGCATTGTAACCCCGGAGTTTAGCAAAGTCTATGTAATACATTCTCCAAAAAATTAATTGCACAAATAAATAAGCAAATAAATAACATCAGCAACAGATATATAGAGATTATATAACTTACCTTCTGAATGCTGCTAACTCAGTAACATAAAATTAAATGCAAACCTGGTTCAAAGGCATAACAAAATTTTCAAAGAATTTAGATAGGAAAAAATCTCCCAACCCCAGGACAGCTTCCCTAAAACTGACTGTGGATGCAGATGCGAGCGCAGCCAAAATCAGCCAGGCTGGTCCTAACTGACTGAGGGATTCATGAGTCTTTGGACTTTAGACAGGTTAGGTTTGCAGCATTATGGCAGCAATAACTAATCTTATACTCTTTGAAAGTAATAAGAGATTACCAGCAAAACAAGCATTACAGTTCAAATATGGTTTATCTTTATTGAAATAGTATTTTTATTTACATTATTTATTTCCCCTCTGGCCACAGAGAAACACCTTCTCTGTAACCCCATCATGCCATTGAGGCTGAGCAGGCCTGGGTGGGGTGGACTCAGAAAAGAGACCTGAAGGGCACTAGCAGGCTCAGCATCACTGCAGTAGACGTCACCTTCCCGGCTCTGTTTGAGTGCCAGTATTTGGCATACACGTCATCCAGGATGGAAAGCACAGCCTCCATGGTCTCCTCGCAGGTGTCCTGAATCTGAGCTTCTGGCAGAATAAACTGATGTGTACCATTGTCCCTCAGCTCAAATGTGTATGAAAAGGGGATCCCAATGTCCTTAGCCCAGTCTCTTGAAGACCCTGATAGGGCGTCTACAAATGAAACCATGAAGGCCGAGTTAGAAATTGTAGAGTGAAGGCACAGATTTCTGTCAGACATTCCAGGAGTAAAGGTTCAATCCAGAAAAATAAACAACTCCTTCATGTTGGGGTCGCATGGCTAGCTGTCTTCTCCCTCTCCTTGATATGAAGCCCCTGTAGGGTGGGAATGACTCTCGTTTAGCCTGTCTCCCTCCACCAGTCCCCCTGTAGGTAACCCCACGGCACCTAGGATTATGCCTGGCACATAGTGGAGGTTTAGTTAAAGTTCTCAGCTGAATCAAAGACAGGAAAATCTAATATTTTAAGATAAGAGTAAATTGACATATAAAGGAACAGAAACAAAATGGCCATCAGGAAAAATATTATGCAAATATCACCTAGGTGGCCATCTGGTGGGTGGAAGAAATGGTGACAGGTGATGAGGAAAAGCAGTGTGCACTTCTCTTTCAACTAATTTATTTCTTTTCTCTTTCTTTTTAAGATCTTTTCTGCAGGCTCCACCTGCTCTGCTTGCTGAGCCTGATGGGTTCTTTGGGAACTGAATCAACAGACCAAAGCTCATTGGAAAACATCCTTCACGTTAACCCTTGTGCCTTCTCCCTGCCAGCTCTTTTTAACTGAAGCCAGAGGGAGTTCTGGTCTTAGCCAGTGCATTAATTTTTTCTTTGAGCTCACACCTTATCCCTGGAGAACATAATTCTGGATTTGTGCAGACTCCCTTTTATCTACAGCCATTTTGACTTGTAAAACTTCCTGTTGATCCGGGAACTCCCTCCTCCCTCTCCTGCCTACCCCACTCCCCAAAGTTCACTGACTCCTTTGGTGCCTTGGATACTATTGAAGAGGTGAAAAAAAGATACTTACATAAAATATCTGCACTCGCTCCAACTCTATAATTGGTTCCATGCTTTGCTTTCAGTGCATTTGCTGCCTTCTGTCCAACTTGGATCTGGAGGTGGGAAATGCAGAGACAGATATCTGGTGTTAAAAATAAAACCAGCAATCCAGAGGGCTCGGTGTTTTGTCCAAATCCATCTTAAGAGCTCCAGACCAGCTTTCTCACTTCCCATTGGACATCTACACCAACGTGGCCTGCTGGTACTTCAGACTCAACACACTCAAACCCAGTAAGTGGAGGATTTTCCTGTTTCTGGCTTATCATGTTCTTCCCCAAAATGAAAAATCATGTTTGATCCTCCTTCTTCCAAATAGTTTGCAAGTTTTAGTTCCAGGGCCGTCACACTATTTCAGTCTCATTACCTCTGAAATGGACTATTGTCATCTTCTAAGGTGGTTGATTATAGCCCCGGCATGTGTACGAGAGGATAGAGCATGGGATGGGATATGAGGATGATATGGGAAGAATTCAAATGGAAAGAATCTGAGCCCCTAAAACATTAGAATTCTTATAGCTATTCCAATTTGAGAGCTGTTTAGAACAAGGCTATATATAGTTATGTTTCCCCTGCATAGTGATTGCCAAGTTGTCTATCACACGGCATAATATTTATCATGATTTCTACACATTTATGGCTTTGTAAATATATAGAGATTAATTACCAGACTCAGTAGTTGTAAATCACACTGGAAATGGGAACCTCCTTGAAGAGTTGGCTTGACTGTGTCTTTGTGCGCCCTATCAAAGCTCACCCCCAAGAACCCGAAACCACTGCTAGCTGGCTTCAGTTGGGTTCAGACAAGGGGGGATCATTTCTACACTGTCTTCTTGTTGAAAATTCTTGAAATGACTGTTTATGCTAAGTCTTCAGCACCTGAGACTGTAAGAGACACCGAATTAAAGAATCTTTCTCAATTCAGTTTGCCAATTTCTGCATAGAATACTGAAAGTTTGTCTGTAATTCCCATCTTAGTTACCTTTCAATAACTTCCAGTAATGATAAAATCACAGCTCCAGGTTTCTCCTGCCTTCTTGCCCAATCTGCCCAGTGGCCAGAGGCCTCTACCCAGATGGCCAATTACCAGCAGAAGACTCTCTAACCTTTCGATCTTGCAAAATGGTCACACAATATCTGTTTTGCGGAACCAAGAAAGGAATGAAATTCTCTAGAAAAATACTGGAATATATGGGCCTCTTTTTTTTCTGCTAGTGGAAAGCCTGTCCAATCAAAGCTCTACAATGGTCTGTCTTTGGTGGTTCATGTATGTTTGTCACAGATCCCATTAAGTAGGAAGTAAACATCCATGATGAATATCACAAACTGAAGAATAAGGAGGGTTCTGGGTCTGTTAACTGAAATTTCTGTTTCTGCAGACTTTTTAAATGAAGAAATGGAACTTCTGGGGCTAAGAAATGAGGGGGAACTAGGACACAATGCAATGAGCATCAAGACTGACAAAGATTCCCAGAAGGTGTAAATACTCCCTGAGCCAATGCGAGGTGGTCAGAGGAATGCAACCCCTGGAGTGTGAGGGTACCATTCCCAGCCACGGCTTGGCCATTCACTGTCCACAGGAGCTCTGGAAATGTAGGGAACTTGAGGTCTCAGTATCTACATCTCCAAACAGAGCTGGTTGTGTTGTATTGTCGTGAGGGTCAGATGAAATAATGATTATAAAATCCTTTTGCAAATTATAGAGTCTGAGGCAAATATTAGTTATCTCACATACCTTGCAAAATGATCACATAGTACAAATGTCCAAAAACTTTGCAAGAGAGAGAGTGAGGCTACCACTACATATTTTTGACTTCCGGGGGAAAAGACCACCTTCGGCATAGCTCTGTGGTGTGTTTCTTTTTTGTGTCAAGACATGTGTTTTATGGGCCCTGCTCCCATGGAAGAGGGGCAGGATGTGCCGGAGAGCCCATGGGTGCCCAGGCCTCTGTGACCATAAGAACAGGGTAAGCTTAGTCCCCATCCATCCCAGCAGGTGTTGATAATAAAGAGTTTCTTTCTAAAAATAAAAGCATAAAATGACAAGTGGTGGTCAGAATGTGCAAAAATTGGAACCCTTGTGTACTGTTGGTGAAAAGTAAAAGATGGTGCAACTGCCATCAAAAACATTAAAAATAGAATGGCTGTAAGAGGCATCCACTTTTGCTTATATACTCAAAGAATTAAAAGTGGAATCTCGGGAGATATTATGCACCTATGTTCACAGCAGCACTTTTTGAAATGGCCAAAAGGTGGGAACAAGTCAAATGCCCATTGATAGATAAGAAAGGAAATGGGCTCCATACATACAACGTAAGATTATTTACCCTTAAAATGGAAAGCACTTCTGACACGATACAACATGAACGTTGAGAACATTCTGCTAAGTGAGATAAACCAGTCACGAAAAGACAGCTGCTGTGTGGCCCCACTTACACAAGGCATCGAGAGTGGCCAATCTCATAGGAAAAGAAAGTGGAATGGTGATTTCCAGGGGCAAAAGGGACAGGGATTGTGGTTTGGTGGGTATAGAGTTTCCATTACGCAAGATTAAAAAAGTCTCAGAGATTAGTTGCATAATAATGTGAATGTTCTTAATGGTCTGCTTAAAAGTGGTGAAGGTGGTAAATTTTATGCTATATGTGTTTTATTACAATTAAAAGTTGAAAAATATTTTTCAGAAAAAGATACAAACATTACAATTCTAAGTTTATTCTCCCTTTGACCTGTGCCTGCTGCTCTCTGGTTCACACAAGGGCAGCGAGCCTGGTCCTTTTCAGCAACTCTGCCCATGATGGTCAAGCTAAACACAGCTTCAGAGAGAGACCCGGATGAGACAAGGGTCACTTTTCCCTGCCCCGGGCTTGGATTTCACTTGCATTTCCCCTTACAAATACTCCTAGCAAATACTACAGGCAGCGTTTGGAAGAAAATAAAGCATTGTGTTTACCAGAGAAGAGAGCAGATATCATTTAGCCGTGTTATTTGAGATATGCCGATTTCCACTAATAGCTGGCAGGTTCTTTAATGCACGGTTCAAAAGCTATAATTGCTGAACGGAGCTTCAAGAGAATTTACAAAAATGAGAGCACGTTCCTGCAGATTATTAACATAATCATCTCATTTATATTATAGATGAATACCTAAGATGTCTCCCAACTTGACATTTTATGAAACAGGTAGTTAATTAATGTAGGTAAAGCAGCATTTAACCTGCAACCTTCCCAGCAGGTGGCTGGCAAGGTGTAAAAAGCAGGAGAAATACAAAAGAAGAACTGAGAACAAAAGCAGGGCCGAGCCAAAGATCTAGGAAATGGAAATCTGGGAAAGAAAAGCTGGGATCCTACTGAGCCCTCTGGAAAGCCTTGGGTCTCTGGTCTTACCAGTTCTTCGTGGTTACTTGATTTATTTTTTGTGTAGCCATAAGGCGTGAGGATGAGCTGCCCATAAGAGTGTATGGTCAGGAAGCACAGAACGTCCTCTTTCTTGCTCTCTATAAGGCTGGAGACGGCTTTCGTCTCAGGTTCTGACACGGGGCCTGCCCCACAGAACGTGTCATCGCTGCAGTCTTTAGATGCACCAATACCTGGAACACACAGGAAATGGCAGAGAAGGCACCATGATCTCAGCTGGGCACTGACAGAGGGTAAGGAGTCATCCTCACTCAAGGTCACTGGGACTGGGGGTGGGGCTTAACCTTGCTTGTCTAAGTTAGTTCTGGATACATGAGTCAACTTGGGTCATCATTTGAGGAGCAACTCAGAAAGGCAGGAGGGCTGACGTTCGGGTTTAGGAAGGAACTCCAGTGCTTACATGGCCCAGGAAGGAAGGTGTAAAATGGAATGGCATTTTTTGGTCATCGTTAACTTGAACTTTTGGTGGGCCATGAAACAAATAGCTGGGAACTAGTTCTCAGTCTCCTAATGTCAGACTCCAACATAGCCTTGTTGGCCTCAGTGTCTCTCTCACTGTCTTACTAGTTTGAGTCTCCTTAGAGCTCTTTTGTGAGTACCGAAGTCACCTCTCCTCCTCACCAATAACAGAAGGCCTGCCATTTGAGCCCCTGGTTGCACGCTGGGCACTGTGGTCAGCCCCTCCTAAGCGGCAGCTTGATGAATCCCCACAACAACCTCTTGGGAAGATGGTATCACTATGGGCCTGTGTTTTAAATGAGAGCAAATGAAAATGGGGAAGTGAAGCAGTTTTTCCAAGATCACATGGCCCATACATCTGAATTTTAACCCTTGCCGTCTGGTTTTTAACCAGACTGCTCTTAGCCATTCCTACTTCTTCATTTCCTTCCAATTCCCTGAGCATGTTGAGGAGAAGATTGTATTTGCCTTCTTTACCTCTACCCTCCTGCTATAAAATAGTCTGCGAGAGAATTCTCTGCTTTCTCTTCTCTTCATGATAACTCATCTATTTCAGGATGAAGCGATGGGTTTCAAACATGTTCACACTGGCTTAGGTCTTCTTGGCCTTAGCTGAGCCAGCTTCCCTTAAAGAGACTCCTGAACTTGTGTGTTGCTGCTTTTTAATATGATCCCTTTAGAGGGGACACACAGGCCAGGAACGCCAGCCAGCTCTGCAAAATTAGATGCTTATTTTCAAAAGTTATATCTCTAGTGATTCACCTCTTTTCTGGCTTCTCGGTTCCATGTTTCCCCCTGCCCCCCATCAGTTTATCTACTAAACTTGTACTTACTACACCAGGCTGAGTTGAAATTTCGATTGAGATCTGTCCCAAAACACGCGCCATCATTATGGGATGAACGGGACTTCCTCCAAAGCCGGTCCTGCGCAGGGGAACACAGGGAAGTCGCCATTCTAAGGTCTCATAAATCAGTGTTAGGGGTGATGGGTGGTCCTCAGGTATAAAAATCATTCCTAGGATTGTCTAGAAGAACTGGCCCTTAACATGATGAAGGGTATGCGTGCACTTTTTAGCCTTGCAGACAGGCTACCAACCCCCAGTCACAGGAGCACTGTAAACCCTCGTTTTAGGGGAGTAGTCTGGCTTTTTTCCTTAACAGATTAGCAGTGCCTGGTGGATGTGATCAGGGAGAGCTTCAGAGAACCATTTTTTAGGTCCAAGTGACACAGGATGAAAGGGAAATAGGTTGGCAGATGGAACAAGGCTGTTCCAGATGCACCAGGGACGGTCTCTGCACCACTCTGGAAGCAGAAGACTGATGCGTGGAGATGAGGATAAAGACAAGTTTCGCCAGACATGTGCAGAGGGAGGGACTTATTCTCGTGCTGGGCGAAAAGCTGTTGCTGTTGTGGAGCTAGGGGGTCCCCTGAAGGGCCTTGGGTGAGGGGGAGTTCTGGGGGAGGGGGAAGAATGAATACTCTCTAGAAACATGGGCTCTTATTTGTGGGCTTATATGCTTTAGAAACACTCACAAGGGGAGACTTTGCTAAATGAAAAGCTCCAGATGTTTGCTCCCTATGTGAATGATCACAATGACAAACGAAGGCTGGGTTTGTATGTATCCATCATTTGGGTCCCTCGTGCTTCTGGAGGTGGACACAGGGAGATGTGGGAATTTTATGGGCATATATTCCTGAGCAGGTGGCAGGCAACCCACAAACTTTAAGGAGATGCAGTTGGAGAAAACATGTGTGTCTGGAAAACTGGGAACATGTCAAAAGCAGAATAAGACACAAATGTGCTGGATTTCAACTCTAAAAAGGCCTCTTCAATACTGAACTTCGACTGTTGGCTTAAATAGGTTGAGCTTTATCCCAAACAGGATTTCTTTTTTTTTTTTTTTTACGTGACCACAAAACATTTTATAGCTGTGATGACTGAGGTCAGAAAAAATGAACTGGAGTCAAAATCTAGTTTATGAAGTCATCCCAGAGCCAAGTTCATTGTACTCACAGTTGTCCAAGTATAAATATAGCCATCTATGTTAAGAACTGGAAGCACATAGAAGTCCAGATACGTAAGGAACCTTCTTATCCTTGAGTTGTTTTGATAGTTTTGTAGAATCTGGAAATTTAAGAGAGAACCATTTGGAATCATTCTGGGAAGAGGTCTTTTTTCACCTTAATTTTTAAATGATTTCCTTTCCTCCTAAGGGATGACCATAACCTCCACCCTCCATCCTCCACTCTCCAACGCACCTCAGGTGCCTCTTGGTTAGGGTGGTGGTTCTCGAATTTCGGGATGCATCAGAATCTCCCGAAGGACTTGTTACAACACAGATTGCCTGGCTCCAGCCCCCTACCAACTCCCCCACCCCTAATTCGCTCGGTCTAAAATAGTGACGTACAGCCTGACACTGGCATTTCTAACAAGACCCCAGTTACATGGATGCTTCTAGGAACCACTTGAGAACTACTCTTTGTGGGTTCAATTCCTTATGTTTGGGTTTCTGAAAGGACTGACACATAAAAATATTTTACTTTTAAAGGTTCTTTATTCCCTCAAAGGAAGAAGATAGGTCATTTGCAAAAATTCATTGTGCTATATATTTCCCATCTGGTAATCTCTTAATCTACACAACAGACCTCTGAAATAGTCATTTTCCACTCCTTTTACAGGTGAAAAACTAGGGCTTTTAGTGGTAGAAAATTTGCTTAAGACTATTTGAAAGAGGCGGAGCCAGGATTCACTCATCTCTGACTTCCAAGACATACTTTCTTTTACATTGGGATATGTTTGTCTTTCACTAAAAATAATTTTGAAAGCACTGGAAAAAGATCAGAATACCTCACAGTTCAGTGGAGATACTTATTAATTCCATTTCCCTTGGGGAGAAGGAGTAGCTCAGTAGAGAGTTGCCATGCCAACACGTCAATGAAGCAGCCTTCCTACACGACCAAGACGTGACAGGTGATTTGTGGTTAACCGTTACAAGGAAGCTGAAGACACTTACTTCTTTCACAAACCACTGGCAGAAAGCAGAGGAAATCCATTCCCTGGCATGAATTCCACAATCCATCCAAATAATCTTCTTGGTGTTGTCGGATGGTTGGCTAATCTGGAGGGGACATCCATGCCCCGTTACCAAGCAGTCACTTATTACTGTAAGCCACTGTGCAAAGTCATCAGGCTTTTTCTTTCCCTAGAGGTCCCTTCCTTGCTCCACTGGGTGGTTTCAAGCATGAGGCAAGGATGCTGGCAGAGATACACACCAATATGACCCTCCCTCGGCTACTCTTGCTCTCCTATGAGTGATCCCAGCTGTTGCGCTTGGGACCACACGCTGACTCCCATCCCCCACCAGAAGCCACATGGGGAATCTAGAGATTGGGTTATCCCCACAGCTATGCTATTATTTGGCTGTGTGACCTTGTACAAGTTACTTCACATCTCTGGGTCTTGGTTTCCTTAACTGCACAATGAAAGAACTGAGAAAATGAATGTGCTGTGATTGATGCATGGGTGGGAGGTTTCCCTGACACAGTCTGTCCTCTCTCATCTCTGTGTGAGCAGTGGAGGCACCCAGACCTCACAGAGCCAGCCACTCGGTCAAAATGTCTAAGGTCCTGTCCAGCTCCATCATTCATGGTTCTAAGTTCCTCAGTGTCCGAGAGAAGGAGGGAGGCCAGTGTGGAGGTAACAAAGGTACAAAGTCTTCTATTTCTGGGCCCTTATGTTTTTAAATTCTATCTCCATGGTCCCACCTAGCTATTTCAAATTCTCTTTATTCTAGAACTTGATTTCACCCAGATGATTAATGTGTACACCTTTACAAGTTTTGAACTTTAAAAGCCCATTTTTGGGTGGAACAGGTGGGGGTGTTTTTTTGTTTGTTTAGTTGGTTGTTTTTTTGCACTGCCTCTTTTAACTTTGTCTACATTTCTACTAAAGTCCCTGAATAGTAAAAAATATCATGGGTGAGAGAGACCCCTCGTCCCCAGAAAGGCAATTCTCAGCCTCCTTACTTACCTTCAAATAATACATGGGCCGAGTCTCATAGGTCATTCCTAGGAAATGCTGTGTCACCACACCCGTGTGCTTCTCACTGATCTGGCTCATCCACTGATAGATCTGAAATGGCCGGGGAGGGCCGCTGTTATCCATCAGAAGATTGTGTGCTCGCCTCTAATTAAGATAACTGCTTCTTTCATTAAGATAATGAACTCTGTACTCTTTGCTCTGCATTACAACAGCTGTGTGCCAAACAAGCTAGAACACGAAACTAATGAGTTATTACCCACCCTCTCCCATTTCCTCTACAGATCTACTCTGCCGCAAGTCTTAGACACCTTGTCTATCTTTACAGAGAAGTTACTGAGAATTTGCAATTTCCACCGATCGTACTTCAGGAACATTATACTACACACCCTTCAAATGGCCACCAGACTTAGCTTCCACGTGACACCCAATCATGCCAGAAATTTAATGAAGGCTTATTTTGTGAAAGGATCTTCTTCCATCTTTATGAATCTCAACGATGTTTTTTTGCTAACATCCGTGGTTCCAAGTTCAGAGGAAAGGTGGGTAAGCCCTTCATAGAACATGCCAACAGAAGCTTCAATCAAGCTCCAGTCAATCATTTTGATTAAGCAGGGCAGACCTGAATAGGTGTTGATTTAATGGCAAGGCTCACACCGTGCTTAGAGAAAAGAGGGGTCTTACATTTTTGCCTGTAAGTCAGTAACTCGGGGCTCTGTAAGAGTGGCCGGGACACGAGAGTTCACGAACGTACGACATCGAACAGTCGTCAGGATGTGATGGCATAACTCCCATACTTTCAAATCTCTCTTATACTATTTGAAAAAAATTCTGGAAAATATGAACATGTTCCCAAATGTCAAAAAATAACTGGTAAATCCTGTTTGGAGGGCAACTTGTACATTTATGTAAATAATTTAGATGCGTATACCCTTTAACCCAGCAATTCTATTTTTAAAAATGTTTACTTCAGATAGTTTTGCATGTCAACGCATGCACCCACTCACACCTACTTATTTGCATCTATAGTACATTTAATTGTTTATTGTAACTAGTTCTGAAAATCACCAAACATGTATATTAGTAGCAATACAAATAGTTCATTGAAAAAAGTTGTTTTTCTCTTAAGAACTGCCGAGGCTGTCTCTTGCATGCATCCTACAAGAAATATCACATTTTCAGCTAAACGTGATTGAGTCAGAAGACTTCCCCTCTCCATACCGCACACCCATGTATACACTGGCCGCACCCTGCTTAAACTGGCTAAGAACTTGATAAACAAGAGTAAAGGTTAATTCTGGTCTGTGTTCACACAAGCATGGCTGGTTAGGGTGTTCTTTTCTTCTTTGTGTTGTTGGTTTGCATTTTTAAAAATTTCATAGCACCAGCATCTGTAGCTCCAATGGTGTTGGTCAGGGGTAGGGAGGGTAATGTTTGGGAATTCTTGACCTCAATGCCCAGGCAAATCTCCACCTCATATTTTGGGCCTCTCCAGTGGATGGATGGTGACAGTAAACCATCCCCACATTCTAAAGCAAGCGGTGGCCACCACCATCCCTCACCATGTATTCTCGCTCACCTCCTCCATGGGGTGGGACTTGTTATAAGAATAGGTCTCCAGGCTCCTCCATGGAGTCACTGTCTTGTGCACAGCCTTTTGTGTCGGTTGGGCCAGTGGTCTGCAAAGGCAGGAAGTCAGACGAAAGGCCAGGAAGAAACTGGGGTGTCAGGAGGGTGGGAAGGTGGATGTAAACGGTAGAGGAAAGCCGAGCCCACGACACCTAGAGGATGAAAGCCATGTATCTCCTTCAGGCGAATGCTATTTTCCCAGGTTATTTATTTTTCTGAAGATTTTGTTGCATAGGCTAAAATTACACTTTTATTATAACCCAGAAAATAGGCATAAGACATTTATCAGTCTACGTTTAAAAATGTTATATCTCTGATTTGGACTACAAAGAGCAAAATGAATATTTACATTATAAGGTCGCTGGGAAATGATTTTAGTGCATTTTCGGAATGGGAGAGGGGAGGGATAGCCAGTGAGAAAAATGTCTATTCCGCCTCCCTTCTTCCTCATTCCTCCCACTGGTGGCCCTGCCTGTCGCGTCCTGCAAGGAGGTGAGATCACTGGAGATGCTGTCACAACAGGGCTGGGACTAGCTGTGGTCACTGTCGGAGCAGCCTTGTTTCCTCCTTCAGTGGGTCAGCGCATGCTTGGGCCTCTCTTCAACCCAGTTACCTTCTTGGCGGTGGGAAAGGGCTACACGGAGGAGCAGGGCTGGGGGGCTGCAAAATGTGCGAGTTTGTTGTCTCCTGAGCCCGTGCTGAATGACTGCATCCATGTCACATGCAAAAAAAGTGAACAGTCTGGAATTTGAAAGAAAATCCCTGATATAAAAGTGCTGATCTCTTTCACATGAAGTGAAACACAACACTTAACCCGCACACATCCAGGTACTCAGTACAGGCAACATTTAAACCACATCCTTGGAGGAGGCAGGTGCCTCTTTCTATGCAGTTTCTTGGGTGCCGCAGAATGCAGGTGGAGAAGGAGGGGAAAAGTAGCTAGTCTGCTAAAGTATCACTAGTCTCATCTCACCCAATCAAATGAAAAGATTATGATACTTCGGGTATTTTTTTAGAATAAGAATTCATACAATGTCTAACAGAGAAAATGATCCTTTAGAGTATATTATTAATAAATGCTGAAGATCAAAGATTGATGAAATTTTGATGTGTGCAGAAGCAAAATAAAACCCTAATGAATACTGAGGCAAATTTTGTGTTTTACACACTTAGTAAGAAATGGTTTCATAAGTATTTCATGACAACAAAATACTTTCAAAAAATTTTTTCCCTGCTTACAAAATTAACATATGCTTATATCAGAAAATTTAGAAAATACAGAGAGGAGAAATGTCTCTAATAATCCTACCTTCCTGAGTTAACCACTGTTGGTGTTTTGGCCTATTTCCTGTTAGTCTTTTGTCTGGGCATATTTTTTTCTTAAACAGTACAAATTATATCTATACGTAATTTTGTATTAACTCCTTCATATTCTGTATTCTACCAGAGCTGTTTCCTCAAACCCATAAAAACTCTTTATACACATTATATTTAATGACTGGCTAAAATTTAATTATAAGTATATATTATATAGTATCATTTATTTAAATATTATCACCTGTGCTGGATATCAAAGCTATTTTCCTTTTTTGTTTTGTTTTTTTTTTAATTTTTTTTTTTTTGCTATTTTAAGTAATTCTGTACTTAATGACTTTTTGCATAAACCTTTGTGCTCACTTCTGATTATTTCCTTGAGTTATATTCCAGGAAGAAGAATTAGTAGGTCAAAGAGAATGAACATTTTCAAGGCATTTGATTCATCCTGCTAAGTCCCAAATGATTCCACAGACCTACATTGTAATTGGGAGCAGGCGATATATATGAGTCTACATCACGAGAAAGATTGCAAAACTTGTGATCTCTCTTAACTGTTGATTTTTCTCCACTGTCATTACATAACTCCTAGTGAGTAAACATTATAAAAATGACAGCTAATTTATGTTTTGAGTTGGTAAGAGCTGTATAAAAATGAATGTTATTTTATATCAGTAAATGGTAATGAATGAAAACAGCCGGTTAGGATCAGGGCTGGCAGGTGGGCAGAGTTCTCAGGCGCAGTCACTGGGCACTCCAGTGGGCGCTGTCTTCCTGGCGGCCACTGCCTGAGCTGAATCACTTCTGCGATTGAACCTGGGCTTGGCGGCCATTATTTTAAATAAAAGTTTTAATGCATCTTCATTGTAGAATATTTGCAAAATGATGAATAGTTAGTTGAGGGAAAGGAAAAAAATCACCAGCAAAGATAACAATTACCATGTTGGTACACAGTTTTTCTTGTATTTTTCTGTCATTACATTTTGTATCCTGTATCTTTCCTTTAGCACAAAACATGTATTTTCCCATGCTATTAAAATTTTATCATAATCATTATTTTAAAGGATGAATAATATTCCATTAAGATATATGTCAGTATTTACATAACCTAATATGGTACTTTTAAATCATTTCCAAACATTGTAATATTTAATATAACATTTATATCACACATAAGGCTGCATCTCAGTGCATAAATTTTTTCCATAATTTTATTTATTTTTTCAGTCTAGATTTTCAGAGGCAGGAATAGTAAGTCAAAAATTGTGTAACTTTTTAGATTCTTGCTATTTTTAAAGAGGATGATATTTTTTTCCAACCAAAGCCTTTTGGAAACTATAAGAGTCTTTGTCTCTAGTTTATAAATCAATAATTTTATAAGAGAAGATTAATGTAGTATTTGTATAAAACCATGTAAACTAAAGGAAAAAACTAAGAAGGCAATGTTCAAACAGGCTTTGATATCACAAAAGTCCTGGGCTTTTTTTACATATCAGAGTGTCTGTGAAGCTAAGGACATGTTGAGGTCACACGGAGGATGTGGGCAGAAAATCTTGCTCTGTGAGAGCAAGTTTATTGCAAAATTCTTTTAAACGAGAATGAAAAAAGGAAATACTTTGTAAGTACATACGTTTGATGAGATGTATCAAATGAGCAAAATACTGAGTTATGTATGAACAAGGAAAGTGATACTTTATATGGTAACTACACTATACACAGAGAGAGACACACATTCAGAGTTTTAAAAGTACTATGTATTTCCAGCCCCTGCTGGTGTAGCTCAGTGGATTGAGCCTGGGCCTGCAAACCGAACAACTGTGGTTCGATTACCAGTCAGGACACATGCTTGGGTTGCAGGCCAGTTCCCAGCAGGGAATGCACCAGAGGCAACCATACATTGGTATTTCTCTCCCTCTCTCCCCTTCCCCTGTAAAGATAAATAAGAAATAAAATCTTTAAAAACAAATTAAAGTACTATGTATTTCCAGAAGTAATGACTCACTATGAATACTGAAAGAACACAAAAACTGGCAAATGACATGGATGTGCAACTTATAAGCTAGTAAAATGAGTAATAAACAAGATAAAATATTTAACCTTATTAGAAATCAACAAAATGCAAAATAAATCATCTGTTGGTATTTTTCACT